AGATGAACACCCAGACAGTCTTCTGTGTCTGTAATTACATAGATGAAGTGCTCAGCACTGCTGCTCTGAGATCACACACTGACTGCTGTCACCACTCAGCCACAGAAGCAGCACTGTGATCTGCAGCCCACTCGGACCATCAGCCTGAGTCCCTCAGCTGAGAGCCTCGCAAGGATTTTTGCCATACTCCCTTCATTGCCCTTCAGGAATATCACATTTGATTTCTTCATTACCAGCACCCCTAAGCTAGCCCCAGCTCCACCCACCTCCCCACGCATGCACGCGCTCATATACATACATACATACACACACACACACACACACACACACACACACACACACACACACACACGACAGATGAGTGTTTCATTAGCCAGCACACGGTTCCTGGCCTCTCCACCACTAAGCAGAGCTAAGCAGAGTCACAGGCATCTTGGGTAGAAACCAGTCCCATCTAATTCAGTCTTCCATGAACTTCAACGTGGTGATCTCCCTCAAGAAGAGGTAACAAAGACTAGGTATGAAGGAAAGGGATAAAATGGAGGGTTAGCCAGAGGAACATCCTAATATACGGACACAGGTATGCAGAGAAGATCTAGATAAAAATGACAATCCTGAATTTGGATGGCACTTTCAATCTGAAACTCATGCCAGGGCATCTAGAGCCAAATTACACTTAGAATAAATCAGGATGGAGCTGTCGCTCTAGAAAACTCTGCTGTAGCTTCTTAGACAGTACAAACAGAGCTACTGCTCTGTTTTCAACATAGACACCCTGTGCTCCAAGTGTTGAGCATGGCTTTATCAGAACAGCCAAACTACAAGGCTCCCTCCACTGTTTCTCTGGAAAGCAGAAAACCTGTCAGAAAATCATGAAACCTTTCATTTAGGAGACCCTCAACCCCTTGGAAATGTTTGCATTTCTATTCAGATTTCATGGGCATCTACTCTGTGGGTACTTGTGCTTTAAAAATTTCAAGCCAACTCTAAACATAGACCATTCAGTATAAATGCAATAAACTTTAAAATCTTGGGCATGTGCAAAGTATCTTATCTGCTGCTTGGAATTCAAGCTTGCTTATATTACACCTGAAATTACATGTGTAGGATAGTAATAGTTACAGCCCACCACAATTATTTGCATCATTCTGGCACAGGCTTGACAGCGCTGTTATTTTAAAAAGGAAAAGATTTACTTTCAAACTTTGGTGAAAATTTAGCATACTATCACGATGCAGGATTCTAACATTGTGGGGGAAAAACACCAGTCTCCTGAAAATTAGTTCATATTCTAAAAGCTTGTGTTAAGATGCTGAACAGATAAAAGAAATTAAAGTAATTTTCCAAAAAAGCTGTCAATATATTCCAAGCTTCTTCAAGAATGCTCAGATTTCAGTTCCACATCATAATTAGCTTTCACCACTGAAAGTTTCAATTGCTCATGTACAATCACTAAGTAAAGGGAAAAACAGTATTATAATGCAGCCTATGATTTATTGCACAATTAAAGCTGTAATACATAAAAAAGAGGCCCAAAAAAGAAAGCTGAGTTGGAGCACATAAAAGGCAATCGACAGGATTTAGAGCCTACACATGTATAAGGCCACCACTTCTTTTGTCTTTCCTGTCCTTTCCCAAGGTGCCAGGGTGTTGCCCGTGTCTCACATATGCTAGGCAAGTATCCTTACTCCAGAACTACATCCTCAATCCAAGGCCTCCTCCTGCTTCCAGTGTGCTCTCTTTCATATTTTCTAACAAAAAATTCAGGAGCTGGGAGCAACAGCTTTTCTCCAGAAATTACATTTCTGCTACCCTGTACCTTAGGTGGGCGTTTATGAGCTTCTCCAACACTGTACCCTCATTTCCAAGAGAAAATGCATTGTAAAATTAGAATCGTAGACTCTGAGTAAAGCTCACCAAGTAAGTTTAAACTTCCTGGTTATTAGGACCCTGGAGTTAATCAATTTCTTCACAGAGGTAAATACGGTATTCTCCAAATTCAATAATAAACCACTGAAAAGGCAAACAATGGCCTTAGCTATGTACAAAGAAGAAAAAAACTGACTAAAGTTCACAAGTCCCAACAGTCATGAAAGCCCTCAGACACCAAGAGGAACATCCTCAAAAGACACAGGTATGCAGAGAGGATCTATGTCCATATGCTGTCATGTGGCAGGAGATTCCACACATAGTCATCTCGCAGGTTAACGATGGAAACTTCATGAAATTCGGTTTGGGTTTGGCTTTATATGTTTCCAAACACTTTGGTTTTGTTTAAAAGCAAAACCCTGAATGTATCTGTAAAAGCAGTGACAGGGTTCTATTTTAAAAGACATGCTATCAAGAAGTCCGTGATGAACGGGGGCTGAAGAAAGTGTATGCTGGTTTAGACAAAAAGACGACTTGCGCGATACACAGCTTTGGAGGGCTTGCTGTATGTGCTTGCACTTTTAGTCTGTTTCTACCCAGGAAACACCGTTATGTGTGTGGGATGCTGTACAAAAACCCTATTGAACACTGGAAACTCCGAATGTTACCAAATTCTGTGGAACTTGAACTCAGTACCATGATACTATAGCAGCAGATGTGGAACTAAGACGCTACCAGGTGACTAGCAAGGGGTAAGGTGTACACAGAATCATCTTACCACAAAGCCCTTGAAACTCTGCAGTTAAAATAGGTAGCAATAATACAGCTCTCTAAGAATATAACTCATCTGACAGAAGAGGGGTCAGTGTGTGACTCATTCTGCAGCGGTGGACTCTCAGGCCACACGCACTGTTTCTGCTTCCCGACTCCCGTCTCAACGCTCTCTCTCCATGCAGCGGTGGACTCTCTTCCTGACTCTCAGTCCACAAGCTCTGTTTCTGTTTCCCGGCTCCGCCTCAACGCTTCCTGACTCTCAGGCCACACGCACTGTTTCTGCTTCCCGACTCCCGTCTCAACGCTCTCTCTCTCTCTCTGCAGATGGGCACTAGCCACAATTCAAGCTAGGGAAATTATTAGGGAGTGGAAGATTACCACATCCTTTCTGTCGTCCTGGGTTTTTCTCATGGACCCTGAAATGGCTGTATGGGGTGCATTCCCTTTTCTTTATTTGGAGCTAGGTGCCTCGATGAGAGAGAACATGTCACATTTGTCTTTCTGAGTCAGGCTGCCTCACTCATTATGATATTTTCTAGTCATATCCATTTACCTAACTAACCCTGGAGAGTGTTTTGATAGTTACTGTTTGATACCAAGTAAGTACACGAGTCACGAATTAATGGTGGGCAGTGGCATCAGTCTTCAGATATCTAGACTGTAGGACTGACCACAAGAGATGTGAACCTGTGTACAAGTTAACATCACTATTCTGGAAGCATAAACACGTACCTGGGTAGAGCAGATACAGTATAGGTCAGAAAACGCACTTTGAGCCTCTTCTGAATGTTAGAATTTGGCAGTACTATCTCTGAAGATGCAAAGGACAAATTTAAAGATAATGAAATAATAAAAACACTGGGCCCTACAAACAGGAATACCAAAAAGAAAATTACAAATGCAAGATATAGGAGTATGTGCCTGCAAGTCTAGCTACCCTGGAGGCTGAGGTAAAGAGCTACTTGAGGCCAAGTCTGCAAAGCCAACTTATAGAATATACCAAGATCCTGTCTCAAAACTAAGTCCCAAATAGAATACCATTCCCCAGTAAAGATGGTGGTGCTCTGACCAGCAAGCGAGTATGTTTAATGTGTTTTCAGAGAGAAGAATGGTAAAGGTTGGGAAAAAGAAAAATATTCAATAGAGAAATAGAACCACATCTAAAGCACACCTAGCTGTAACACACACACACACACACACACACACACACACACACAATGTACACTTCATAATTTGCTATGCTGTCAAATTGAATATACCTAAACCTCACACTGCCACTTACTACATGTATGACCATGGACAAGACAATCAACCTCTCTGTACCCCATTATCTTCATCTCCAAGATCTTTCATAAGAATGTAAGAGATGTACAGACAACTCTCAGAAGTGGCTGGCCACTATGCTCCTAATTGTTGCTGTGAAAAGACACACTGACAAAAAAAACAAGTTAGCAAAGAAAGAGTTTATTCCGCTTGCATTCCCAAAGGGCTAAGGATTCTTCACTGCAGAGAAGCCATGGCAGCAGGGACATAAGGCTGCCCTGGTAGTCAGGAAGCAGCGTGACCGCATTCCCACAGCACATGAGGAAGAGAAACTAGAAAGCAGAACTGGGTTCTCAGCCTTCTAAGGAAGCCTACCTAGTAAGGCGTTTCCTCAGGGGAGGCTCCACCCCTGAGGGGTTCTACAACCTTCCCAGACAGCACCACCAACTAGAGACCAAGTATTCGAACACATGAGCCTGTAGGTGTCACCTCACATGCAAACCACGACAGCCTCAAAAAAACCTAGGTGCGCAGTAAGGACCAAGGATCATCATCTGTGTTAGCAAACATAAACACACTGAAGCCGGCATCAGTGTGCACAGCTCACATATGACTCAGTCTGCAATGCCGGGGAGCTGAAAACCCCTCACAGAACGCAGCCATCTCTCAAGGGTCCTTGTGTGTGGTGAGTGGTGCTTCTGCGCCTGTCAGCATCTGCAGAAGCAGCTCTAAGGCGTAGACACCGTAAAAATGATTCAGTGTCACAACAAGACTGACTAAACGTAAGCCATTTACACTTCAAAGTACAACGGAAGGGCAGAAGTGTACGGCCGGACTTTTATCTCAAGCGGTGTGCTACCTGGGGCACTCATCTAACAGTAAGAGAAAGGTTAAAATGATGATAGGTTTCCAGTGACCACGCGGCCATATGCAGGATCCCTCCACAGCTGCCTAATGTCACAGTCCAGAGCACACTTGAGAGTCAACAGTGGCGTCTATGAATGTCATCAGTTTGAGCCAGTCAGCACGCAGATTCCCTTCACTTGAATTTTTTAAAAATCAACAAAAATTATTGCAGGCTTTCTTTAACTCACCTGCTGAAACCCATAACACGAATTCAGGTGACTTGATAACAGACAAGGGAGAAGTTTCAGAAACCAACTGTTCCTAGAATGGCAGCAAATGTGGATCAAGACAGCAGAAACTAAAGTATTCAAGTATTTTATAGTTTTAAAACAAAACTGCGTCAAGTTCCCACCAGGCTTCCCAGGCCTAAGTTACCCTAGCCTGAAGAGTACCTCAAAGCCCTGGGCATAAGGCACCTGGAAATCCTCACCATCCTCTCGTGCTCTACAGTCCCTGGGGATTCCCAAGAACCCCATGTTAGCACTCACTGTGAGCTATGTCATCTTGTTACTCTCCAGTCTTTGCAGAGCCTCCAAGTCCCAGTGTGTTCTTATTTCCAAAACCCAGATAGAAAGCTAAATGCTTAAACAGATTGAAAATGAGGAAAAAAAACAAAGTTCAATACAATGCTTGCTGACTTGGGGTGAGGGGTCATTTCTGTAATTAGACAGCAACACTTAGAACATGGGATCAAGCTTAGGGAATTAAAGCACATAAATCCATGCGACTGTTGCCTAAATGTGACACTACTGACTACTGTGTCCACCTCATTGCCAGACAACAGATGAGAAAACACAGATGCACATCCAGAGAGCCCTGGAGGTTGTTTTCCTGCCGCCCCGTCATCCAATGCTGGATCTTTTCCAGGAGCTAAAGAAAGAACAACTGAGACCGGCTGCTGAGGAATTAGAACGCCCTCTCTCACCACCTGGAAATGTCTAGCGTTACACACAGCTGCTGAGCTGTTACAGCAAGTCACTGGAGCATTATGAGGTTAGAATTCCTTTTGGGCTGTTTCCAGGGCATTCTGCAATGCAGCCCTGTCTGGTTGACATACCTTCCTGGGGAAAGCGCCTTCTGCTGCTTCGCCACACGTCTGCATTGTCTGCTGAGGCACCAGCAGCATTAAGCAGAGCACACTCCCGGTGTCCATGCCAAGTTTGTACTGTGTTGTGAAAGGCTATAGTCTACACTTTGGGGGTGCATATTCATTTGTTATACAGGTTGTTATATATCAGTTATAGAAAAATCAGATTCAAAAAGGTTCCTTAACAATTAAATCAGCATTATTTAACTGATATTAAACCATAATTTCCAAAAACTAAAAGTATGGCTTTCCTACAAATACAAAATGATCTCACGCCAGAGACTTTATTCAACAATGAGGATATTAGCACAAATTTCAAGATGTGGCTATGGGCCAAGAGTATTACTGAAATATGTTTCCAGACTCTACAGAAATAGTGCATCTACTGTAACAAGGGCTCTCTAAGCATTAAGATATGAACACTGTACAAACTATTCCTGTGTGGTTGAGACCTAACTTTTTTTTTCTTTTCTTTTTTTTTCCTGAGACAGGGTTTTTCCACATAGCCCTGGAACCTGGTCTACACACCAGGATGGCCTTGAAACTGCAGAGTTCCATCTGCCTCTGCCTCCCAAGTGATGGGATTAAAGGAATGCACCACCACCACCTCACAAAGCCTAACTATTTAATAAAAAAAAATTGTTAAGTATTTTTTTGACTATGGTAGAACCAGAAAAAAAAGCATTATTGAAATAGAATACTGTAAACTGGGTGATTTTATAATTTCTGCTGCAAAGAAATTAGCTATAATATCTTGGACCATCTGTTTGTCAGAGTAGAAATCAATTACATGCCCCCTGCACAAAAATTGTTTGCAATATTGTAGATAAGAATCATGTGTGTGACTATTAATTAACTTCTACTACCACAGCATTATAAAACAGTCTATCTAAAGAAAGAAAAACGGGGGCTGGAGAGATGTCTCAGTAATTAAGAGCACTCACTGCTCTTCCAGAGGACCTGGGTTCGATTCCCAGTACCCATACGGCAGCTCACAACCATCTGTAACTCCTATTCCAGGGGACCTGACATCCTCACACATGAATCCAGGCAAAACACCAATGCAGATAAAATAAAAATAAAGCAATCATAAAAAAGAAAATAAAGAAAAGGGAATGCACCCCATACAGTCATTCAAGGGTCCATGAGGAAAACCCAGGATTACACAGAAAGGACATGGTAATCTTTCACATCTTAATAATTTTCCCAACTTGGATCGTGGCTAGTGCTAATCCAAGTCGAGAAGTACCAGGACAGGAGTTGGGAAGCAGAAACAATGTGCATGGATTCTTCCACCAAAATGTGCAAAGACAGGACTGGGGATACATGTGGGAGTATCTTGTTTGTACTCTAACAAATAATGCTTACATGAATGATCAGAAGGCAAGACCTAGCAGTTGCTTAATCACAGAGGTCTGGAGGTCCGTACAGACAGACAGGAAGTGAGATGGCTGGATGGAGAGAAGAATATAAAGCAGGAGGAGACAGGAGCTTGCTCTTTTTCAGCTGGGGCGTTACTGAGGTAAGGTGTGGCTGTGGGTGGCTTCTTTGTCTCTCCGATCTTTCAGCATTTACCCCTGTATCTGACTCTGGGCTTTTATCATTAAGACCGATTCGAACTCGTGCAACAGATAACACATTTGACAGGCGGCTTGTCTGTCCCGTGGTTCTAAATCAGAGAGCGCACACTGTGAAGATTACCACTAGTGTGTATTTCCTAACATATTATTTTGGGGCTAGTGACTACATATAAAAATTTTACGTTTACTTCCCCAACACTCAAAGCACCACCAAATCAAAGCTGCATGGAAAGCGCCACATTCGGTATCAACATATATTAAAATCACATGTGGCTATTCTGAGAAATACAGCCAGTGTCCCAAAGGAGACAGTCACCAGAGATACTACTGGAACACAGGTCATTAGCAAGCCACTCTCAAACGGATTGTCCTCTGCACTAAAGACTTGTCCAGATATACCGTCAGCTGGACAATAAGAAAGCTCAAAGGAAAACCACTGGGCGTCACTCACAATGAAACTGGGTAGTAACAAGCATAAGCGTTTAATATGAGGTTTTGCTAGTTTTCATTATTTCTGAAAAGTGTGTGGTACGCCTCTTATGCCAGTGTTTCCCACATTTCCAGGGACTTAACTCTGACCTGGAGGTATCACTGAAAGGAGGGTTTCTATTCGGTAAGTCTGAAGTGAGGCTGAGATGCTGGGTTTCACAGTTACTTAGGACTTCAGCTGCATAGCAAGGTTTGAATATACCACACAAAAAAAAATTTGTAAATGTATACAAGGGTATGGAAAGATTTCTTAGTTTCTGTTGTTACTTTATTGACACGGAAGCTCTATTTCATCTCGTGATGAACCACTAGCTCTGATTAGTGTTATAAATATCCTGTAACCCGCATTTAAAATGATGGGAAGCAGGGTCTTGTTGAGCTTCTGAGTGGTTCTAAGGATCCAAGAAGGGATGGTAGGGCTGAGGAGATCTGCTGGGATCTCCCATGCCTAGAACAGTTCTTGGCGCAGGTATCATTTCAACAAATGCCAGTGTTGGAAAATAGTCTGTGGGGACACCACACCTTGAGCAGAAACCCACTTCCCCTTCGGCCTGGGAGCAGGCAGCTGTGAGATAATGTTTACTGAAAACAATTCAGTGCTATAAAGCTCTTGATAGGGCTCTGAAATACCATGACTTTGACACCCTCTACGGCTAGATGCTTCTTCCTGTGTGTGGTCCCCCCCCCCCCCGCTACTGTGTCTCCCAGATTCTGGGGCCGGAGATTAAACCACCAGCCAGGAGGGTGAGAAGTCTGGAAAGAATTGTATGTAGATGGATGACAGAAGTCCTTAAAAAGGGAAGCTCTTTTTTCCTGGAGAGACTCCTCTCTCCTAAGCGGACTTGGGGTCTCCTCCTAAGCTGACTTGGGAAGCATAAAGTTTTCTTAAAGCAACCGACTGGTCTCTGTGTCATCTATCCCGACTACCTCGCTACATTCTTGGATGCAGGCCGCACAGCAGGTGCGACAATAGTCTATTTCAGATTTCTCAACATTTTGGAGAGTAAGAAAAATTAAGTAAAAGTCTCTTATGAAATTTAAAGTGCAAACAAAGAAAAGTAAAGATAAATTTCCATTGCTTTAATATATATTAAAGGCTAACAATAAAATGTGTTTTTAATAACAAGCTGTTTATCCAATGTGCCAAAGAAAAAGCCATACCTGTATTAAATAACCTATGAGACTGGTTACAATTCCAGTGATTGTAGGGAGATGGAATATTGAAAGCACAGAACCAAATCATCATAGGTTATTCTAGAACATGAATAGCCATTTACTGCTCACTCCAGTGTGTGACTAGCTTTGTGAGTATTAGGGAAATGCTTTCATCATAGGTTATTCTAGAACCTGAATAGCCATTTACTGCTCACTCCCGTGTGTGACTAGCTTTGTGAGTATTAGGGAAATGCTCAATTGGCCTAGACTAAGTTATCTCTCTTTTTCTTTTGAGGTGAGAGTTGGGTTAGCACATCAACACTGACAAAGCTGTGTGTTTTCTCAGAAAGACAGAGCTGCCTGACTATGTTCCGACAGAGAGTCAGCCCACTTCATGCTATGGGAAGCTGCACAGATTTCCCATGCCTGCAAACACAGCTCACAGCGCTAGCACTTGGGTTAGGAAGAAACTGCACACCCAGTGCTCTTAGCTGGGAAAGGACAAACTTTTCAGCAGCACCTGTGGCAGAAACCAGACCCTCACACATGACCCAGGAGTACATCAAAATCTTAGAGTTGCCGAAAGTCACAAAAACTAAAGAACTTATTCCTGTCTACAGAAATTATTCCTGTCTACAGAAGAGTACACTCAAAAACAACGGTGCCATAAAGGCAGGATTACGGTCATATGAAACTCATTTGTTTGAGCATCTGTTTGCCACCTACAAAGAATAATGCTTTCCAACGGATTTAGCCAAGAAAAGGACAGAAAAGAAAATCCCCTTACTAGGGAGTCAGTATAGAATCACACTGATCTGGAAGAACCATCTGCTGTTAATGAACCAAAACCTATAGATTTTACTTTTCCCTATTTAAATCACTGGTGTGTGTGGGGGGGGCTCTGATTAACAAAACTAAAAGTGCCCTCAGAGGATTGCTTTATATGTTTTGTTATTTAATCTAAATATATAGGATTCCCTCAGTTTCAAAAGGCATATAACTATCAAAATCCTAACACAGTAACTGAGAGAGGAGCAATCTGGAATGCAACAACCACTAAAGCCAATGAGAATAAAGCTCTGCAAGGTGTGCTCTCAAAGGCAGAGAGACATTGCTTAAATGAGGGAAACAACTCGGCCATTAGCAAGAGATGGATGACAATGTCGGTCATCAAACACAATGAAACATAATTAAAAGCACAACGAAAAGCAAGGCAAATACAAAAGAGCATCAAATCAAACGGGGAAAGTGAAACTTACGGCACACATACAAAGTGGCGCTCAGTGACGGCAGAAAGCCTGGGCACGCTACACACACACTTTAGCTGGTGGAAAGGGAGGAGAAGGCCAACAGTGCTGAAGGAAAGCACTGCAGTCAAAGCAGCAACGTGCCAAGGAAGGCGCCGCAGAGCTGAGGAGGACATGAGATGGATTTGCAGTTACACAGACAAGTGAAATCCGATTAACAGAACCCATGACAATAAAAGACCACACTAGCCTAGGCATTTACCTTACATGGAGATGAGACACCGCCTCTTTTTTTCTAAAAAGTGGTCGGTTTTGTTTGTTTTCACAAATCTGTAAGTTAGTTCTAAGTTCTACTATGATAAGAATGGGATACAGAAACTGGTCAGGGTAGTTCAGTTATTTGTCCTGGGCCAGAAGCTGGAAATGCCTGCCCTTGGCTCAGTCTTGGGCAGAATGGAGCTCTGGCTCTGATCTAGATGCCTGCCCTTGGCTCAGTCTTGGGCAGAATGGAGCTCTGGCTGTGATCTGGATCCCTGCCATCTTTCTTCCCGTCTTCTACAACCTGCATGTGCACCCTCCGTGTGAAGATGACACAAACTGAGAGGCACCTGGAAACACTGTGGATGAGCAGCCCAGCCCCCCACGCCTCAGCCATTCTGCCAGTCTTATTAAAAAGCCCCGAGAAGAGCGGCCCGAGGGCTCCTGTTTTCTAGGATCCATCCTTCTATGGAGGAGCTGTCTTCTGCTCACTCCTATAATCCCTTCATAAAACTACTTGCTAAACTCACCCTCCCATTGCCCCAAATTTCATTCACTGAGTTCCCAAGACAAAGCACATGGAAGCCACTGCTCTGGAGTGGCTCCGACGGTCACTGACTTTGTGTGACAGCTTTGCTCTCTGAGATAGGAACTCTTGAGACAAGAAAACGTCCATTGTACTCAAGGACCACGCTCTGCTAGATTTCAAAAGCAAGCACACTATTTCCATGCAAACAACAATGCCCTATTGACACAAAGAAGCATGAGCAGAACACGCAGGTTTCAACCCCGATCTATCTCTAACAACACCTTTATTTGGGGGTGACCTTGAAGAAGGAATATTCTTTTCATTCTCTGTGAAACTAATTACAAAGTTATGAGGCTATTCGTTGATCAATAAAAAAAAAATTAGGATTAACCTCTGAAGTCCAGTTGTCTTTTAGATTTTCCTAGCTAAACCCTGGCAATAAAATAACACAATCCTTAACTGCAGCCTTGGCAAGAGGCTTATCTGCCATTTGTGATAAATTATATTACAAACTGAATCTATATAAATATATTCAATGAAAACTGAACTTAGCATCTGAACTAAAATGTAACAGAAATATAAGCCACCTTCTGAAGCTTGAAAATTTAGAATGAAAGATGTAAACCTTAACATTTATAACTTGTATACTGATTGTAAGTTATGGCAACATTTTTGAGAAACTAATTTAAATAAACTATAAAATTAACCTTAGTCAAAACCAGGCTGGGGAAACCCAAAGAAACAGTTGACCTGAACAAGGGGAAGCTCATGGTCCCCAGACTGACGGCTGTGAAACCAGCATAGGATGGAAACAGGCCCCCTGAACATGGGTGTTATTTAGGAGGCCTGGTCAGTCTATGGGGCCTACTGGTAGTAGATCAGTATTTATCCCTAGTGTATGAATGACTTTGGGAGTCCATCCCCACCGAGGGATACTCTCTCAACAAAGACACATGGGAAAGGGCCTAGGCCCTGCCCCAAATGATGTGACAGACTTTGATGATCCCCCATGGAAGGCCTCCCTGGGGAGTGGATGGGGGGGTCAGTGGGAGACAGGGTAGGAGAGGAGGGAGAGGGAACTGCGATTGAAATGCAAAATAAGATGGTTTCTAATTTAAATAAAAAATAAAAATAAATAGAATTACTCCCTTTGAAGAGGTTATAGGGAAATTTTTAATTACATATAAAATGTTTGTTACCTTAAACCACCTGCTGTAGGCGGCATCTTTTCGGAGTGTTTTAGGTTGAAACTTGTTGTCCTCCAAAGACCTGTAAGTTGACAGACTGGTCACCAGAAACTACTATGTGGTGGGAGAACCTTTGGGGGCAGGGCCTGGGGAAGGAAGTTAGGTCACTGGGTATGGGTGGGAGGGGACTTTAAAAGAGATGTTGCTTCCCAGAAACCGAGAGGTGAGCAGCCTTCTCCACAGAGTGCTCCTCACCATCAAGTACTGTGCCTTGCCTCCAGAGGCCCACAACAACAGAAACCAAGAGCCAAAGTAACTCTTTTCTGTGTGGTTGTGGTCCATGTCCCGTCACCCCCCCCCACCATAATCCAATGTTCTCCCTCTGCTGAGCATGCTCCCAGTGCTCCCCTCCTTCAAGTTTCTCGGGTATTCTGTTGCAGTGACAGGAAGTGGCTAGCTCATAGGAGTCCTCTTTCCTTTCCCTGAAGCACTGAACACTAGATCCCTGTCATAACAGATTCTTTGGCCAGATGTTCTCATACGTCCCTTGTAGACTTCCTTCAAGTGTGATGTACATTACGTCCATCCTGCCCTCAAAATCCTAAGGTGTTTCTCATCCTCTACCATCCCCCAACAGCTGTCTGTGTATCCTGTGTTTCCCATCCTCTACCATCCCCCAACAGCTGGCTGTGTATCCTGTTTCCCATCCTCTACCATCCCCCAACAGCTGTCTGTGTATCCTGTGTTTCCCATCCTCTACCATCCCCCAACAGCTGGCTGTGTATCCTGTTTCCCATCCTCTACCATCCCCCAACAGCTGTCTGTGTATCCTGTGTTTCCCATCCTCTACCATCCCCCAACAGCTGTCTGTGTATCCTGTGTCTCTCATCCTCTACCATCCCCCAACAGCTGTCTGTGTATCCTGTGTTTCCCATCCTCTACCATCCCCCAACAGCTGTCTGTGTATCCTGTGTCTCCCATCCTCTACCATCCCCAACAGCTGTCTGTGTATCCTGTGTCTCCCATCCTCTACCATCCCCCAACAGCTGGCTGTGTATCCTGTTTCCCATCCTCTACCATCCCCCAACAGCTGTCTGTGTATCCTGTGTCTCCCATCCTCTACCATCCCCCAACAGCTGTCTGTGTATCCTGTGTCTCCCATGCTCTACCATCCCCCAACAGCTGTCTGTGTATCCTGTTTCCCATCCTCTACCATCCCCCAGGAGCTGGCTGTGTATCCTGGCCTGTCCTCAGCAACAATCCTTCTAGACTGTTTTAAGCAAAACTCTGCAGCACCTGTGTTTCCCCTTAAACATGTTCCATTTACTGACTGCCCTTCCTGCCCCTTGGCTGCCAGATCCCACTTCACCATGCTACAGGCACAGTTGCGTCTAATCTCTCACGAACACTGTAAGAACTGGCTGTGAAAAAAAAGAACTGGCTGTGGGGGTTCCTGTATCTACCTCAGCGGCCCTGAATGGACTCTTCCTTGCTGTGCTTTAATAAATACTACTGAACAATATTTCTTTAACAGTGGATAATCAGGAATTTGTTGTTGAACGAACAAATAGAACTATACAGATACACACATCAGCACCTAAGAAAAGAAAGACACTCACGCACTCATGCACGCACACGTACACGGCACTCACACAGGACTTTCTACATAGCAACTATATCCTATTGCAGTGACATTTTAAAACTTCCTTATTTGGCCGGGCAGTGGTGGTGCACGCCTTTAATCCCAGCACTGGGGAAGCAGAGGCAGGTGGATCTCTGTGAGTTCGAGACCAAGCCTAGTCTACCCAGCAAGTTCCAGGACAGGCTCCAAAACAATACAGAGAAACCCTGTCTCAAAAAACCAAAAAAAAAAAAAAAAAATTCCTTATTTGTACCCCTCTAACTAACAAAAGGGTTATGTCCTAACAAAATGACCAGAAACTGAAACTATCACAAGTGAAAAGCACATGTGTGCACACAGGAAATTAAAATCATCTCCAAGATAAGGAAAGAGATCTATAGAAGAAGTCACACCAAATCATGATACCTTATCTTGGACTCATGGCATTCACAATGGTGGGAAAATAAAGTTCTGATGCTTTGGAAAAATTTATGTTTTTTTAATTATGCGTATGTGTGCATGTCTGTGTGATCCAAACTGGGTCCTCAGAAAAAGGAGTACATGCTCTTAACCATTACTCCATCTCTCTGACCTCTTAAAGAAACCAACCATGGCTCAGTGATGGCTGCCTACGAAACTTAGTATTTTAGAAAATACTCAAAATGCTATAGTAATGGAGTGGCATTTCTGTGTTTTTACTCATTATAGCCAGCTACAGGAACAGTAGAGTTTACCTGTTCAACAGCCACATGGAGATAGTGGCTGCTGCACCACAGAGCACAGATTTAGAGACCAGACAAAACCAGAAAGGTCTATCAACTGTCCCGACTGTTTGACCAAGAAACAGTTGCTACTTACTGACACATATTTAACCAGTACAAATTCACAGAAGTCAAACCTCCTCTCACACATCAAATCTTACTCTGGTGTGCTGAGCAGGTTATGGGAGGATCACACATATGAATGTCACCACTTGGGTTCCTGATATGTGGGGGCTACTACAAAATGCAGAGAATGGAGGCTTGTGACTGGAATGTGTTAATAATCCACAGGGGTCAGAATTCCAAGAAAGATGATCCAGGAATTCTCAGTACCCACCAGTAATGGGTATGTATTTACCTCAGGTTTTACAATACACTATTTAAATTTAATCAAGTATTTTCAACAGACATGAAGTACCCGGAAATATAAGAAATATCATTCATACTACACTGAACAAAATGTTTCAAAATGTTTTGTTAATCAAAAAATATACTGCTCCATAATTACTAATTTCATACGTAGATAGTAACAAAGTTCAACAGGCATGAATGCACAGAATTGGAGTGACACAAAGAGAAATGCAGTTAAACTTACTTGGGACTCTCTCACCTAACTGAACAAAACACTGTTATCCAAATAAATAGCAACCTCACTTGAGAATAGATCAGAAAAATGAATGTTAGAGATATCAGGGTCTAATAAACAGTATGTTGCTTATTTAGTACAAAGTTCTAATAAGAGAACTTTACATTTGAACAGGTCTTTCCTTAAATTTACTTTAAAACATCTTATAGTTGCCAAGGACTTAATGTTTGGATTTATTCCTATTTTATGCAGATAAGGAAACTAAGGTTCACGGAAATTAAGTGACATGGGAAGGTCACATAACTAAGACGAGCACATCTAAAGCTCAAAAACCGGGCCACATTTTATTTCCACAAATTTTCCACAGGCACTGCCCTGTTGAAGCAGTAGAACTATACTGAGCATACAATGTCATGTAAACGTTAGTAATTACAAAAGTCTGTAGTATAATTATGCTGACTGGATCAAATGTGCATTAATAATACTTAAAATGGTAATTAAGTTTAGAACAAATCTCAATAATGGTAATTCAATTTAGAAAAAAAAAACTCCCAAGAGCATCATGCTCAAAGGAATCTTTTCTAAATGTAAGTCTATAATCTTTTCACAAAGAAATGCAAAGTGATCAATAAAAGGCTTGCCAGCATAAAATTTATTTATGAAGATCAAATTATGTGTAGAAACTAAAATGGAATTTTTGACTCAGAAGTTATGTTTCTAAAGTGAGTCGTATGACATATCAAATTGCTGTATTTTTTTATTCCATCAGATCTATTTAAGGCTGATGTAAAAGCTTTATTTAAAATGTCAACAATGTCAAGGAGAATTAAAAACGTGAGGAACAAGCATGGCAGATTTATAAAGACTGGATGAAATGCACAGGTGGTCATCGCTGGAAGAAAGCAACTGGGAAAACTCATTCTAGAACAGTAGAAATTTAAATATGGGCAGCCTTCCATACTACAGAATATGGGTAAGTGGAATCACAAATTGAGAAAAGCAACTTATATCATAGTCCCATTTTTGTCTTAAAAGAGCTTAAGTGAATTACTATATGCAGTAAATATCTGACGGGTGTTAACATAAATGCACAGATGAAATATTCACATATGTATATATATATATATATATATATATACACACACAGTGGCAACAGTGGCAGCCTCTGAGGGTTATAGTGTGGTCCTGTTTTGTGCAGCGTTGGAGATGAAACTCAGGGCCGTATCCATACCAAATTACTTTGGCACTGAGACACATACCCGGCTCATTCTGTTTATGTTTCCTAACTTTATACCGTGAGTCTGTTATTTTGAGGATGACACATCACTATAATAAAAGGTTTGGTTTACAATGTGAAGATACTGTTGGGTGGCATAAACCTTTAAGAGCTCAGGCATTCATATAGACGGAAGGACCCTAGTTTCTCCTTGTGCCTTCTGATGGAGATAAAACTGCTTGCTCCCACATGGGGCCTTGCCACAAAGGGGTCACTATCCTCAACCTTTACTGGAGGCTAAATCCATGGTACACTACCTATTCTTGGACTTTGATGACCCAAAATTGCAGGTTACATAAACTGTCTTTATAAAACTCATTTGTGCCAAATACTTCATTAGCGGCAAAAAGCTACAACATACATTATAAAATATATTTAAACTCTTTTTTAAAAAAATTTTGTGGGCTTGTTGATGTCGTTTGTTCCTTTTTTATTATTATTTTTTTTTTGAGACAGGGCCTAACCTGTAGCCTTAAATAGCCTGAAACTCACTATGTTCACAAGGATGGCCTTAAGCAGCAATCCTCCAGCCTTTGTGTCTTAAGTTCTGTTTTTGTTGCTCTAATACCTAGACAGAGGCAGCTTAGGGGATTAAGGTTTTCCTTTTATCTTACCCTTCCAAGTCACAGTCCTTCAAAGCAGGAAAGTCACAGCAGCAAGGGCCAGAAACAGCTAGTCATAGCACATCTACAGTCATGAGCAGAAGAGTGAATTAATGTGTGCATTACTGAGTTTGGAGGTGTCTTCCACCTTCAAACTGGGTCTTCTCCTATCAATACACCTAATCACAAAAACTCCTCCCAGACAGGCCCAGAGACCAGCCTAATGTGGACCATCC